TCTTATCTCCCCCATATCTCCCTACCCTCCCTGCTATAATTTAACAGTCTGCCTGCTGCTTTACTGTCTCTGTATCTATCTTTTTGTTCATCAGTTTATAATGTTCTTTATTATCCACAAATGAGTGAGATCATGTTGTGTTTTTCTTTCATTGACTGGCTTATTTCACTCAGCATAATGTTCTCCAATTCCACCCAGGTTGCTACAAATGATAAGAATTCCTTTAGAAATAACTATTTCTGTTGTCATTTTACCTTAGATCTATTCCTTCCTCTGGATCTATAAGCTAATTGTCTTGACACTGCTATCCAATCCCCAGGTAGTGCAGATAGTGCTAACCAGGTTGGAGTCAAGCCACATACCAACGACCTGGTAGGACCCACTAGGAACATCCTTTATCCTTTAGCACAGGCAACATCCCATCTTAAGAAGCATGTCCTACGCCTGCCTCTGCCTGAGGCAATGCAATCTCTATAATGTATTTGCATGCTGCTAAGTAAGACTAAAAAGAGTAGCCAAAGATGGGGCAAAACCACAGCCATCTTTCCATGGTTACAAACCCACGGGAGTCGGTTCACTTAAGCTCTCTGCACAGCTAACATTCAAGAAAGTGAAAGACAAAGTTACAGCCTTCCTTTGGCAGAGTCTCCTAAAGAACTGCGACCAGCTCTGACTGTCCATGTGTTTTAGCAAATATGTTAAATGCTGAAAACAATCCCTGCTTTCAGCTAGACTGCTTTGGTGTGTCTCAGTTTTTCCTAACCAATGATCTAATTTTAGTTCGATGAACATTATCCAGGTCTGTTTCCACCACACTCCTTCCCGCCCTCTACCCCCACCAAGATTGACTGCCAACAAGGCTCTCGAAGTGGAAAGTTCCACAGTAAGCCCAGCTTAGTGGTCAAGGGCATGGGCTCTGGGGGAAGACTACCTAGGTTCAAACTGAGGGGTCCCTGTTTACTAGCTTGAGCAGAACTGCTTTGAGAGCACTATTTTAGGTACTGAGGATAAAACAATGAGTAAGAGACCATCCCGTCCTCAGCAATCATAAACTCTGGTGTAGAAGTCAGCAAACTGTTGATCACAAGTCAGTATGATTAAGGAAATGAACCGTCTATTTCCCGTTAACAAAGGGGACAGTTCATAACTGTGAGAAGGTACACTTCAAGAAGGCCAATTCGGTAAATGTTTATTGTGGGGACATTTTATGAAATAGACTGTGCCAGGGAAAAGTAGGAGTGATTGGTAATGTCACCTTGATTCTCACTGAAGAGTTTTAGATTTGATTGATAATAGCAAAATCAATATTAGTAAACATTTATTAGGTGTTTACTATGTGCCAAACATGGTTCTAAGAAGTATTTACTTATTACTTTTTTAATCCTCATCTGAAGGTATCGCTCCATTGATTTTAGAGAGTGGAAGAGAGAGCGAAAGACAGAGAGAAATAGTGATGGGAGAGAAACACATCAATTAGCTGCCTCCTGCATGAACCCCCAACCAGGGCCTGAGGTACATACTCTTGACCCTTGACCAGGGAACCTGAAACCAAGGTGCATGCCCTTGATCGGAATCAAACCTGGGACCCTTCAGTCTACAGACTGATGATCTATCCACTCAGCAAACCGGCTAGGGCAGAAGTACTTTTAGATGTCTTACCCCATTTAATGCTCACAAGAAACTGAGGTGAATACTACTCCTTTTCCATGCTTTGTGACAAAATATAATAATAATTATAAAGATAAATTAAGAAACCTCTGTTACGAGCTAATAAGAACTGTAACAAGGAGTGAAACTCTAATAGCGTAGGTTAGAGTCAGTGTTTTAAACCAATATCTTGTCTGACTAGAAGGCCCTCTTCAGACAGGCTTACCCATCAACAAAATAGCTGATGTTAAACCCCCAGCTACCCACTCCCTCATTATGCCAGAACCCGATTTGCTTTCTACCCAAAACAGCAGTTATCCACAGCGAGGCTCAAAAGCCCAGTTATTCGTCACAACATGAGGCAGAAGATGCAACAGTCCTATCAAATGAAGGTCCTTGGGGTTGTTACTATGAAAAGAAAAAAGAAAAAAAAAGGGGGGGGGCAATAAGGGGTTGGGGGTGGGCAGAAGAGAAGGAAGGGGAGGACGAGTAGAACCATTCCTTCTAAGTCTTTAAGCTACTCAAGGAGAGCTGAGAATAGGAGCCAGGAAAAAAAAAAAAAAAATTAGCTGTAGAAAACATACAGTGTTGCAGTAATAAAGCCCTTAGGTGAGAGAGTGACACAACTAGACACAAAATCAAGTTGACCTCATCAAAGAAAACCAATTTGACTAAGTTTTATTTCTTCCGAAGAGCCCCAGCCGCTCATTGACCTGGTTAATTGTTAGACCAGCAGCAGGAGGAGATGGGAGGGCGATGGCCGCTTTGGCCACTCTGAATTTAAAGTGCCCGGGAGACATTCCAGCAGACGTGCTCCCCGTCAGCCGGATGTGCACGTCTGGAGCTCACGGAAGAGGTCTGGCCTGACCCCAAATGTCCGGCTCTCGCCAAGATCTACACCCCTCCCTCTGCTTTTGGCATATTCTTCCAGGAGAAACAGTAAGCCTTTCTTCAGTTCAGATCGCTCATTTCAGAGGTTTTAAAGTAAACTCAGCCCAGCCGGCGTGGCTCAGGGTTGAGTGTCGACCTAGGAACCAAAAAGTTATGGTTTGATTCACAGTCAGGCTACATCCCCGGGTTGCAGGCTCTATCCGCAGGGTGGGGCAGGCAGAAGGCAGCTGATCAATGATTCTTATCATTTATGTGTGTGAGTGTGTGTGTGTGTGTGTGTGTGTGTGTGTGTGTCTCCCTCTTTCTTCCTCTCTGAAACAAATAGAAAATGTTATTTAAAGTAAACAAACAACTCAAAGATCGTGGCTGATTTGACTAGAATGCACATGGGTGTTAGCATACCCCTCCCAAAGGTGAGAACTGCAGTTGGCAGCCTACCCAGAGCTCTCTGTGGCTGTGGGCAATCCCTGCTCGCCCCTGCCCTTTACCAGGTTAGTAATAAAAACATGACGTAGCCTGCTTGGCCTTCGGGTGCCAGCAAGGAAAGGCATCCGAATTTGCCCAAAACTTCGCTACTGTCTGCTACGATGTGTATCTCATGGATAACCAAAAGGTGGCCAGGTTATGTTATATCAATATCCGCAAGGGCCATTTGTTGCAGTTAATTTTTCAGAACACCATTCAGTCCCTATATTTCAACATCACTTAATATTCAACTTTTTAAAACTGAATATTTAAAAAAAAAAAAAGTATTCATAGTCATAACATACTAAAGAGAGAATCGAAAGCAGGTCTGGTTCTTGCATTTACGATCCGAACAAGATAGGGAAAAATAAAACCGGAAATATGACAGCTTTTAACTTTGGTTGTACCAGGGATTTAGCATGGTTATGATGACATAGTCATAAAAATCTCTGTGGACTCTTAGAAACCAAAAACAACAGAGGCGGACTGCTAATCAGGGAGCGTACCTGCCTGTACTTGGGCTCAAGGCAGAGCTCTCCCTCTCCAGGCACCGGGCCCAGGAACCTGTTTGTCCCCAGTGTCTAATCAGTTACCACCTGCTGTGCTTTACAACATCCCTTCTTCTTACTCCGAGGGTCCCCTCCCTGGGCTGGATGTCACAGAGGGCTGCTGAAAGTAGGAGAAATCACAAGTCATAAATTTGAGTGGAAAAAAGTATTTAAAAGGATGGATTTGAACTGGGTATAAAAATAAGGCAGCACCTCACAGACGGGAATGCTGCCTTTCCTTGACAGACACTAAATTATATCCTTGCCTCAAGGTGCACTTATAAACTAAGTTTTAATTTATAATGTGAAATGTACCAATGGAATACCAAGCAATGGCAGAGGACTGAAGTATCACTAAGACAGCAAGTAAGTAGATAAATTAGTCTCCCCAGTTTACTGAGCAGAAGCTCAATCTAAATTAAGAGTTAAGCAGGGTTACTGAAGAATCATCAGTAAAAAAAAAAAAAATGGATATCCTATACAAAAGAGGTTATCTTGAGAGAAAATGCTGAGGGAAAGAGAGAGATGGTTTGTCATGTCTCACAGAAGAGGAAGTTCATATGTGAATACCTGATTATATTTAAAGTATATGAATGCATGTATGTATATAAAGTCTGGGGGGGAAATAAATTCAAGGTGCTACACTATGAGGTCTTAACAAACCTCCCCAACCTTCTCCTCCCTCTGTCCGCCAGGGGGCCCTTTGCTCCTCTCACAAGAGTTGCCTTGATGTCTCTGCATTGCCCATCTCTTCCCTTTCTCATACCATAATCCTGCCAGGTGTCCTCTCCTGAGACCTTTCTGCATCTTCATGTTCTTCACGGTCCAGTTCAAGTTCCATGCCTCACCCCAGTCCTTCCTGACAAGCCCAGCCCAGGGAGTTTTCTCCTTTCTCCAGGCTTTCAGTCGCTGTCACTCACTCATCCCCAAAACCCCAACAACAGAGAGGAAAACAGAAGTTCCCTCAGAAACATTCCAGTGGGCCATTACTTCCTCTCACTACCGGGCACCTTCCTGAGTCTTTGTGTCTGATCCCCTCAGCTGAAGGAGAAGCTCATGGCAGGGATTGTGTCTTCACACACCTCTATCTCTTTCATAGCACAAGGCCGTGCCCAATGTGTGATCTGATCAACATCTCCTGATGTGAAGGAACAGTGTCTCATACAATGTTCATGGGGAAAAGGCCACATTCACTATGAGAGCTCAGATTCTCACATGCAAGACTAGAAAGGAAGAATTCACCAAGGTTGTCCTTTCGCTCAGTCCCTCCCATGAAGATAAGACTGTAGACTTGAAGTAGGATAAAGTGTGAACGTAAATGGAAGGAGGAAGCTTAAGTGAGCATAGCGGACATGGATACTGGAGAATAAGGTTCTCCTGGGGCAAATGTAAAAGGCACAAAGGGAAACCAGCAGTTGTTCAACAGCGATCAAATATAAAAAAACATACCCGTATTTCCTTGAGCATCTTCTATCTTATTTGGTGAAGGCGACAGGAACGACGGCCTGGTGAAGTGAGGGCCCTGAAGAGAGGGCTGCTGCGGCTGCTGCTGCAGAGGCGTGGTCTTGAGGATCACCCTCCAGTCCACCTGGGCAACGTCTGACCTGGACCGAGCATGCCCTGGCTTAAAAGTGGTGGTCTCATCCAACAGGTCATTCACAGAACGAGGTCTGTCCCTGCGACGCTGACACACGTTGAAAACATTGAAGGTGGATGCTTCCTTTTGCTCCATCCAGGAAAGATTATCTGGGGCCGTCCCTTTCTGGACCATGAACTGTTCTTTGGCGAAGAAGACATTTTGGACTTTGGTCTGACAGGGGTCCCAAAGCATGCCCCCCTCGCCTAGGGCAGCGACGTTTCGGAGAGCACCGTTGTCTGTGATGTGACCGAGTGCCTCGTGCCCCACCAGCTCAGGGACTTCCTGGATCCCATACACCTCTGCTTGCTGGACAGCCTTTTCCAGCTTGCTGTCAAAAGTGCTGAAGAAATCCTCAGTCACCTCCAGGGCGGGGCTGATGTCATCCACCTCCAGCGCTTCCATGCCGCAGGCTCTAGGAGGCCTCCGCCTCCCCAGCTGGCTCAGGAACCGGCTTCATGAGCATCCACCCACAGAGAGAGGCTCTGGGCAACAGCGTCCTGGGCACGGCTGGCAGGAACCCCATCCGCTGCCTGGCACAGGCCACGCAGAAGGGCGGGTGGTGTCTTTCCAGCCACTAGAAGCTGAGGATGGCCATTAACAAAGGTGTCGGGAGACAAATGTTCCTTCAGGGTTATTCTTCGGTGAGATCTCTGTAAAGACAACAGGAAGTGCGTGTCAAAGTCAAAGCAATGCAGGGCAACCCTGACTCACCTGGAAGAAAATAATGAAAAGGACAACGCTGACACATGGTCCATTGTAGTCCGTGGTATACAAATCTGCCCCATTATTTCGCCATCTTTCCCGCCCAAAGGTGCACAACAGCTACACAGAAGTTCCACTGTCAAGTTCCACATCACTCCCCGCTTTGTGTGAGAACTTACACAGCGCAGAGTGGAACTCCTGATAAGGGGAATTAAGGTCAATAGCTTTTACTCACACAGAGAAGCCTCTGAGAGCGATTGTGAAAAGACTGCCCTGGCAAATCTCTGTGATATGTTGACCTAAAATAGTAAGCAAAAAAGACTAGGAATTCTCTGACTGGGCCTCTATGGTAATCAGTCTGCAAGTCATAAATGCATGAGTCCTTTCACAAACCTTGAAAGCACCGATAATTTGTGAGGTTTAAAGGCACGAAAGGGAAGTGGAGAGGGAGACTCTGTCCTTTCATTAAACCTGAGCATGCCTGCCTGTGCTTCCTCGGTTCAGATGTTGTAACATCTAATGATCCTGTGGACTTCAGAATTCCTCCAGTCCTCCTGCAAAGAGGCTGTGAGGATTGACCTAGGACAGTGGTTGGCAAACTCCATTAGTCAACGGAGCCAAATATCAACAGTACAACGACTCAAATGTCTTTGGAGAGCCATATTTTTTAAACTTAAACCTCTTAAATATCAGTATCTTCCATCGCCACTTCTTCAAAATACTCATCCAGGCTGTGGTATTTTCTGGAAGAGCCACATTCTAGGGGCCAAAGAGCCACATGCGGCTCGCGAGCCGCAGTTTGCTGACCACAGGCCTAGGAAGACAGGGCCAACCTCTGGGCTGAGCAGAATGAATCCGAGCACTACCCCATTCTTTCTGGGAAACCATAGCCCTCAGGACCAGGGCAAACTAGAGCAGACCTTGACAGTGAGGCTGTCTTCTACAGTAGACACTAGCCACACATGGCTACTTAAATTTATTAAAACCAAATAAAGTGCCTCAATCAAACTAGCCACATTTCATGTACTCAAAAGCCACATATACCTTTGTATTTTTTCAAAAAAAACAACAAGCAAGAACTTTTCCCCACCGAAACCGGTTTGGCTCAGCGGTAGAGTGTCGGTCTGCTGACTGAAAGGTCCCAGGTTCGATTCCGATCAAGGGCATGTACCTTGGCTGCGGGCACATCCCCAGTAGGGGATGTGCAAGAGGCAGCTGGTCGATGTTCCTCTCTCATCAACGTTTCTAGCTCTCTATCTCTCTCCCTTCCTCTCTGTAAAAAATCAATTAAAAAAAAAATTTTTTTTAAGTAACTTTTTCCCCCTTCACCTACTTACAAATAGGTAAAATTAAGCAATTACAACTCCTTTGCAACTCCTTTGGATGAGAGCCCAGTGAGTTTTCCAAGAACTCCCGTATTTCCAAGGAAAGTCAGTATCTTCCTTTGACACATAAGAGATCCCAAGTGAGGTTTCTCCAACCGAGCCCAGTTAACCCAGAACCAGGAGGGATGACAAATTGTGACACAAAGTTTGGGAGCAGTATGTCACACAGCAACCATACTCGGGACTCATCACCTGCGCAGGGAGGCCCTCTCTGGGGTCCCAGGCTAGGTTTCCACAGCACCTGTGCTTCCCTGAGTTACACACATCACAGTTTCAATGTCACACCCCCTCGTCTATTGTGTTCATCCGTGGACCCCCAGAACACAATTGCAGCTCAATAAATATTTGTTGAACAAATGAATGCATTTTTGAGTGGCTATTTTTAGAATCATTTATTTGACATTGCTTTCTTTTTCTCCCTTTTGCTTTGATGTCAGCACCTCTGATTTACAGCCCTCTCGTCACATCACGATTATCTTTAGCAATAAATAAAGACAGCTACTGCTTTAATAACAGTCCCCCCCAAATCAGTACTTAGTATAATAAATGAATTAACAGACCAGTGTGACAAAGCCAAGTCTTTGCCTGTATTTGCACAGTACAAATTAAATAGACAAAAAGAATTACTGAGAGTAGCAGTGACTCATTCATTCCATAAATGTTTTCTGAAGCAGTGACTGTGTTCTAGGCATTGATGATACAGCAGTGAACAAGAGATGAAATTCCTACCCCTGTGGCCTAATGACGTAGGCCAGCCTCCTAAGAAGAGGCAGAGGTCAGCAGTGACAACCCGTGGGGCTCGGGAGGAAGGGGACTTCAATAAGTTACCTCACTTTCCTATTCTCAGTTTTCTCATTTGCAAAGTCAACAAATTAGTAATACCTTTCCCCAGGACAGTTGAGAGAATTAAATAAGGCAATACGTGGCATGGTTCTTGGCACAGGATACGTTACAAAAACAAGCCTAAAAAGCCTCTCCTTGCCCAATCAGCATCATCATCTGTCCTCTGTGACCTCATACCCTCTCTGCCCTCCACCTTCCCTCCCATCCGGACACACTGGCCTCCTGCTGGTTCTCAAACCTGCTGACACATCTCCCCTCAGGGACTTTGCCTTGGCTGTTCCCCAGATGTCAACGTGGCCAGCTCTCTCCTTAATTGTTCATGTCACCTTTTCATGAGGCTTGCCCTAACCACCCTATTTAAAATTATAACACATATCTCTGCCCTGGAGTTCTCATCCCCTTTATTCTGCTTTTTTTTTTTTTTTTTTTTTTTTTGTAATAAACTTTTTAGAAGAGTGTTAGGTTTATGGCATTTTTGCAAACGTAGTACAGCACATTCACACACACCCCACATCCAGTTTCCTCCATGTAATACATTAGTCTGGTACACTCTATCACAATTAACGTACCAATGTTGATACATTGCTGTTAGCTAACATTCCTACTTTGTTGAGATTTCCTCCATTTTCCCCTACCATCTTTTTACTGTTCTAGGATCCCATCCAGGATACCACATGACTTTCAGTTCTCGTGTCTCTTTTGCCTCCTCTTGGCTCTGACAAGAGACTTCCTTGTTTCTGATGACCTTACTGTTTTTGATGAATACTGGTCAGGGTGGTTGGTTGATGTTTTTCTCCTGACTGCACTAGGGCTGCATGTTTTGAGAGGTAAAACCATTCCCATCATATCCAGGTTGACACTGTCAACATGACTTACTACTGCTGTTCGTGTTAATCACCTGGCTGGGCCCTTTTCCCCTATTCACTTACTGACCTCACACACCCCTTAGTTTACTATTTAGTGTTCAGAGTTTCTCTCTTCCAAGTAAAACATAAGCTCCTCGAGAACAGGCATTTATGTTCATTTTGTTCACTAAAGTATCCCAAGTGCATAGAATAGTACCTGACACACAAAAAGGCACTAAGCTGATCTGGTGGGATGCATGCATTGTTATTCCTCTGAGTGAAGTTCATGGCCATTCATGGCCCTTCATGACCCCTCCACCTCTCCAATTGGCAGTTCACATTGTGGTTTTCCTCCTCCAAGTTTTGGTCCAAGTTGGGAGTCTTCCGAAGTGCTCAGGCTCAGAGCACCTTGGGTTTGCCACATTGTACTCAATCGACAGTCTCTCTTGACCCCACACTGCACTTTAAGCTACTAGAGAGCAGGCACAATGCCTTCTTTACCCTCAGATAGAATCTCTACGTGTTCATGCCTTTGGGCTCTATTTACCACCCTTACCTGTTCTGGAATGTCATCTTTCTCATATTTGTCAGTATTTTATTATGTTGTATTAGGATGAGCAGCCTTTAAATTTCCTACAAGGGTCTAATGCCAAATTTAAAATCTATGAGTAAACACCTCCTACTAGCTTGCCTCATTTCGTTTTGAAATTAATTAATTAAAAAATAACAACACATCTGGACAAGGCAAAATATGAAGAGTACCTCCCTCTGACAAAGTGAATTGGGTAACACTAGTGTGGGGGTGCAGTGCGGTTTGCCTCAGCACAAAACTGGAAATCAGGAGCTAATTAGGACTGTGTCCCAAATCTGGCCCCACCAACCACACACACTGGGTGGCCTTGGGCAAACCATTAACCCCTAGGTGCCTCACTCAGCTACCTGTATTCAATACAGTGCTAATAGCAAATTGCTTCACCTGTGGACCATTCACGAGGTAGCTGCCCAAACATGCCTTTAAAAACTGTAAACTATGTGTAATTATGACACCCGCCACTCCACCTCACCCATTCAACAGCCAGGTGCTCCGTCTCTCCCTCCCGGGCAAGGTTCGTCAGCCCAATTAACGCAGTAGCAACCAACTAGTGATGATACACTGGTTTCAGCCCAACTCCAAGATCTATAGGTATTTTACCTTATTTTTGTATAGAATACTCTTTCTGTAAAAAGGGTTATTTCTTCTATTTAATAGACTGAGAAGCTGAGGTCTATTGATTAGGGTCGTAATCAAAGCTCAAACCCCAGAACCCATGCATGCATCAGAAGGCAACAGGATGGAGAATCAGTGAATTGCTATTTTCTGACCAGGAAATCTGCTGTCTACATGCTCATTGGTCAAGGCTAATCAACAGGATGAGTCCAGCAGTCCTCCCACACAGAGGCAGAAGCAGAGATGAGCAGTGAGACCAGCCCAGCCCACACAGAGATGCCATATTCTCCCAAGTTGTTTGGTAGAAGTGCTGACTCTCCCCCCATTTCCCTGGCTTGTAATCAGAATTTAATGGGTGCTGAGAGGGTGTCTGGGGCCATGGAATTTCAAAGCAGCTGGACTATGGAGACAACGCAATGC